GGTTTTACGACAAGTACAGTAAACATGTAAAGCCATTAGCTTCGTTTTCAGTTCAGTCCAGAAGACACCAGGCTTGAGTTCAGAAGCAAGTTTAATTTCTCTCCTAAAGGTAGATTCCAGTTGCCTCAGAAATAGGGTTTAGTTTGCAAAACTTCCAAATCAGGAGAGTTTGGTTAGAAATGTTCAGGTTATTTGAACTAAGAAAGGTCATGTTCTCAGAATCGAAAAATGTTCATAGCAGTAGGTTTGGAATGGACTTACTAAATTATCTCCTCAGACAATGGGCAGTGGGGATGTCACAGTGGCTCAGTGGTTAGTACTGCTGCCTCACAGTGCAAGGGACCTGGGTTCGGGTTCCACCCTCAGGTGAATGTCTGTGTGGAGTTTGCACGTTCTCTCCTGGCCTGCGTGGGTTTCGTCTGGCTGCTCTGGTTTCCTCCCACAGACCAAAGATGTGTAGGTTAGGTGGATTTGCCATGCTAAATTGTCCAGGGGTGTGCAGGCTAGATGGATTAGCCATGGGAAATGCAGGGCTAAAATGACCTGGTTCCACACTGTAACAATTCCATGATTTCATGATTAGTTGAGATATGGGTGAGAGTTTTCTTGCTTTGAATCTCTATAATGAATAGTGTTGGGAAACAGATTGAAACTTATTGTGTGTTGTGAGATCATCCTACTTATTTTTCAAATTTAGATAGCTTTTTCTTAATAATAAGTTTCTGCTGTGCTGTGAATAACTCTGTGACTAACCACCATTGTATCTAACAATCATTTAAAGTATCAACAACAGAGGCTTCAAACACACATTCTTATTCTTATGCAAATCAGCAATGAGCCATCGACAAAAGATATCAAAGAAAGAACAACTTGCAAAAGTCAATTAAAAATATAAATCAGGCAAATTTAGCAGCCACCTCCAGTTGTCAAGCCTGAATCCCTACTGAGAGGGGTTTAAAAAATCCTTTTATAGATCTGGGCTGTCAGCCAAGCATGCAGAATGAAGACAGGTGAAATAACACTTCCAAGAGAACCGAATGGCCTCATTATACTATCCCCCTGTGATAACCCCTGCAAGGTCCTTGGGACATCGCTAATTATGGTCCTCAAGCTCATTGAGTATGAACCCAGCTGCAACTCATCACCTGATCCCTTCATAAAGCAGACCCATAATAAAACATTTATAGACTTGTAAATGTCCAGTTGACTACATGGGTGACTGGTGGCAGGTTAAGAGTTAAAAACAAATAAATAATTCACAATGATTTCGCGATGGAGGAAAGAAATATTCAGTTGTGCTTAAGAGCACTTCTAGGTATAAGAGGCGGAAAAAAGAAGCAAAAGTAAAATAAAAAGAGCAGATTCGTTTTGAGTGTAAGAGTAAGAATACTTCTAGATGTATTAAAATAAAGCAGACATGTCCTCTCCCCCTCTCCCTACCTGCCCCTCACCACCTGATGGTTTGCATTGCTTGCAATAGGCTTTGCATGTAAATATCGACACGGGTGATTTACTGATGGTGGCTAATTGTTTTAAAAAAAAGAGAACATGGTGATTTGGTGATGGTGAGGGAAGAAAACCATCTGGTTGTGTGTGATTGCACTTCAGGATATGAAGAAATAAAGCAGACCCAGTCAGAGTCAGTATGTGCAGGAGCTGAGGGACTGATCCTGTTCACTGCAGAAACATGTCTGAGGAAGGAAGGTTGTTCATTGGTGGCTGGACTTTGACACAGGCGACAGTCCCTGCAAGAGAGTGCAGCCAGATCTGTAAGGTGAAAGTGGTTAAGGACATAGACGCCATGGCTTCCCATGGATTTGACTTCATCGCTTTTGATGAAGGACACGAGGGACACGCTGCAGGTGGGGATCCATTGGAAAATTGCCATCGATGGGTGGCGGATCCGGCTGGACCATGCCAAAAAGAAGTCAGAAGGAGGTAGCTTCAGATGTGAACAAGGAGGGGGCAGCTGTGGTTCTGGTGGAGCAACTCGAGGGAGTATGGCTATTCCCAGGGCTGGGGACAACACTATAGAGGACATGGCTCCTACAACCTCCGACACTAGTTTTAGTCTGATTCCAAGGTCCGAGCTCCTTCCTTTCGGTTTTCCTAGTTTTGTTTAGGGCAGAGGTGCAATGCCATTAATTTCCCAATTTGAATACAATTGGCCATTTTGCCCCCTGTATGTGCTAGTTTGAGAGGCCAACAGCTGTTGACCAATTTCTGCTTGTCCCAGGTCCTATTATATTGGATGGCTCTGGCCCAATCACTATTGTTCAGCTGAGATTTTCATCTGTTGTGACTTTTAAGTAATAAAACCAAACCACCTAGATTGTACCCTTTTTTATAAAAAAGAAGGTCAATTTTTCTTTGTATCATCTGAAGGAAATTGTAAGAGTGTGTGTTAGCTTGATGGTCAGTGAGCAATCATGAATTCTAATAACACCATGCACAGTTGTTTTTGTTTTCTTTAATCAAAAAGTCATTTTATATGATAAAGGAATTAAAAAGCCTGCCTCTCAGGAGGCAGGTGAATTTTGTCTTTTTGAAAAGCAATAGTGATGGGTAGTTGATATCGTGTTTTTGTATGAAATTTGTCTCTTGGAGAACAGCAAAAAAATTAAACATTATGAATTGAAATGTCAGGAATGTACTTTTTGTTTAATGGAAAAAAATGTAAAGCAGACATAGGGATGGGTCAGTGGAGCTGTCTGTCCTGGGCTGGGACTAGCCTACATATGCCAGTGGCTTGTGTTTAGGGTTCAAGAGTAAGTGATATTCCTTTCCAGTCAGGCTTCCTGAGTTATTACATTGGCCATGAGAGTAAAGAAAAGTTTCAGACAGTCTTGTCTTTTGATGAACCAGGTTAGATCATAGCGGGGAAATATTAGAAATGCGACTATGTGAAACTGGAACATTACGATAGGGGTGTGGAGGACTGGTTTCAGTACACCAGAAGAATGAGATACTTCTTCCACCCAATGGGATGGAAGCAGATCATCACCAAAATGTCATCCTCCTGACCACTTGTGGAGCTCTGCCTTCCAGCATCATAAAGAGTTTAACTGACCCTGCAGCCCTGTAGGCAAAATCCTTTTACAAACGGATAGATGTAGTAATGGACTACAGTGATCCCAAACCAGTGAGATGGGTTTAACACTGCAGAGAGATTTCCTGGGGAACCAGTTATTGAATCCTTGGTGAGGCTGTGGGAACGCTGAGAGTACAGGTCAGCAGTTTGGGGAAAGGTTAAAGGGTCACTTAGTTTGTGGAATTAATAATATTGCGACTCATAGGAAGCTACTAAGTGGAGGTGCTGGTGTTGGACTGGGCTGGACAAAGACATGAGACACACGACACCAGGTTATAGTCCAACAGGTTTAGATATCATGTGACTTCTTACTGACTGATCCAGATCTGGATCTCAAGAAGGCCATTGAACTGGCGGTTTCCCATGAGAACATGGAAAAAGTGGCTCAGCCTTGGGCAACCTGCATACCACAGAGCCAAGTCCCCAGTGGATAATAACTCGCGGCTCTTATTGGTTGCTAAGGAAGGACGATTGGAGTCAGAGGCTGCAAGATTCCAGAACTAGACAGGACGTTTGTCCACAATACAGTGAGCAGCAAGAATGTCCATACCACACTTGTTGTCATAGAGTTCACCCCAGACAAGACTACTGAAACAGGTGAAATGCCCAGGTCAAGGGGCAAAGCCACTTCAAAACAGGGCTTTGCCTGAGGATGAGGAATTGATACAGTTAAACTGCATCACTGCTCTCAAAGTGGCCCCAATCAAGATGAAACTTAGGAGGTAGATACAGGGACTGCTGCCTCTATTGTGGAGGAGTGAACCTTTAGGAAACTCTAATGGGCATTTTGCCTTTAAGCCTGCGAGACCCCAAGGCTAGATTGGCCATGTGCAGTGGCAAGCCCTGAAGTATTATTGGGATCACTTAACCCCAGTTACCATGGACAACAGGCAGTCTGATTCCCCTTAAAGGTAGTATAAGGGCCAGGTCCCAGCCTTTTGGGAAGGGATTGGCAGCAGATCTTTAAAGTGGATTGTGATGATCTATATGAAGTCATTGGGAAGTATCCCAAAGTGGTCCAAGAGGGCCTTGGGAAAATAAAAGGCACCAGGACCAAGATCAATGTAGAGCCAGAGGCCCAACCTAAATGCTACAAGGTACAGCCAATCCCCTCTGCCCCACGTGCCAAATTAAAGTCTGAATTGAAACATCAGAAATGCCAGTTTTAAAACCCGACAACTCCGTCTGTTTCTGTGGGGATTATAAACTCTCCATTGCAGAGCTTCTTGCTTACAGAGAGACCCTACGCAATGCCTAGAGAAGACTTGAATGGCAGCTGGCTGGGGGTCACGTTTTCCAAATCAAATATGAGCCACACCTACCACCAACAGGACCCTGAGGGGTCATTCAGGAAGTACATACCTCTCAATACTCTCAAAGATGGTATGATTACACTCACTCCTCCTTTGGGGTGTTGTCAGCTTACACCATCTTTCGAAGAGTGATGGGGAATATCCTGCAGAGGGTGCCTGGAGTCTATCTGGATGATGTTTTAAACTCAGGAGCTATTGCAGAGGAACAGTTGCCCGAGAATTTGGAGGCGGTATTGCAGTGTTTTTCTGTGGCTGAGAAGGGAAAATTGTGTGTTCCAAGTGAAAGAGGTATCCTCTGTAGGGTACAGGGCTGACAAGGATGGATTACACCCAGTCAAAGAGAAGGTGAAGGCCTCTAAAGGGCTCCGACTCCAAGGAACAACAACAGTTGAAGCCTTTCCAAAGTCTCATGAATTTCCCACAGTAATTTGTAGCCAACCTGGCACCCCATCATGTCCTATTTAAGAAGAAATCCGAAATGGCCACAGCAAATGCCACAAGAAAAAGCCTTAACAAACATCAAACAACAACTACTGTCCACAAATATATCAGCCAATTATGAACCCGAAGACCACTTGCTGTAACCTGCAACCCTCCCCCCTGGGATGGGCAGAGTATCATCCCACTGTTGGGACAGAATTCCAATTGTGTATGCATCATGAATTCTAGACAATGGAGAAAGGAAGAATGCCCAAGTCGGGAAAGATGGTTTGGCCGAGGTATTCATGGTGAAATAGTTGCACTAGAATGTCTATGGTTGGTATTTTACCATAGTAACTGATCTCAAATCTCTGCTGGGCCTCTTCAGGAAGACCAAAGCCATTGCTCCCATCTCATCAGCTGGGATCCAACACTGGGCACTGCTATTAGGTGCCTATGAATGTACTGCGGAACGTAATCCAGGGAGAGAGGCAGAGCCAAAATGAATACCTCGAGCCAGTCGCCACTACCCATCAGCCTACCTTCACCCCGGAAGATGGATGAAGTCTTCATGACTTTGAACTTCATGGACACTCTCTGCCAGAATGTGCCAAACAAATCCAGGCTTGGAGCCAAAAGAACCCTGCGTTGGCAAAGCTATGCCATATGCTAAACAGTGGATCACAAGGATGCCCTACAGAAGAGTTGAAACCATGTATCTCAGAATATCAGGGGTTGAACCGAGAGGATTATCTTGTGGGGAACCAGGGTGTCTGTCTCATGTCCAGGCCAGCGACTAGTACTTCAAAAACATGCACAATGGCCGCCCAGGAATTTCTAAAGTCAAAATGCTCGCAGGAGCTATGTTCGGTCGCCTGACATAGACACAGACATTGAAAACCTGGCTAATTGGTGCAAAACTTACCAGGAAAACCAGAACCCCCCCCCACCATCAGCTTCACTGCAGCCATCGGACTGGCTGTGGAGACCCTGGGGGCGAGTACGTGCAGATTTTGCACAGCTATTTATGGGCTCTATGTTCTGAATCCTTATCAGTACCCATTCAAAATGGACTGATGTGCACTGAATGGCCTCTACTAACTCTTACAAGATCGTAGGAAAGCTCCACCAATCCTTTGGTATACATGATATACTGAGGTCATTGTAACAGACAATGGCACTTCATTTGCCAGTGGGGAGTTTCAGACCTTTATGAAGACAAACGAGGTAAGTCACATCCACACGGCATCTCCAAATGGTCCAGTTGTGCAAAAATAGCATGAGAAAGCAACCTACAGGGTCTTTGGGAATGAAACTTGGACATTCCCACTTCAACTTCAGGACAAAGCCACATATGACGACAGGAATCGTCCCGGAGAATCACGGACGGACTGACACCTTTGGACTAGGCTTAGCCGGACTTCCCCAGACTTGGGGTGGGGGGGTAAGTTTGAATTAAATTGAGAAGCCTGAAGAAAGGGGCAAAACCAGGCAGAGATTTTAAACTGGGAGATACGGTCCACATGAGAGTGATGGCTTTCAATGGATTCTGAGAGTTATCCTTAAAAAAAAAAAAAATGGGACTGGTATCATGCATGGTTAATACTGGGAGAAGACTACACGGAAAAAACCGTCAACAACCGCAGACAGGAGGAACCCTCCATGGAGATGATTGTTTTGACAGACACACCACCATTGGCATTCTTCACAACAACTTGCTGATGGGAAGCTCCACCCAATGAAAGCTCAAGAGCCATCCTCAGGACTACAATGGCTCGGTCTTGGAGATGGAGACAGAGACGGTGGAAGATCAGTCGGGGTTCATCACCAGGGCTGAGCTCCCTGCAGTGGCTTTTCGGTAGTCTTCACAGAAGCGACATTCACCTACCTTTTATTATGTAGCCCCTAACCAGACCCAGAAAGCAACAGGAATGGGCCCAAGGGCAAAACAACGCAAGAGGCCTCATTGTCACAGGAGAAAGGTGGAGCCCTCAGACTCGGATAATCCCCTGCAAGGCCCATGGTGAATCACTGACTAACCTCCTTGTTGAGTATGAGTTGCCTTGGTAACAGGCAATGGCCTGCCCTGCTGGAACTCATCACCTGAGCCCTAGATAAAGCAGACTCCGCGATGGGTCTACAGAACTGTTTGGAGTGGCTCTATTTTGGTCCCATGCTCTACTCGTTTTAAGGATTGGTTTTGGATTTGAAGGTCAGTCTTTTCATTGTGGGTAAAGCACATTAGAATGGTTTACACACTCTTCAGAGTGATTCTGTAACTTAACAGATCAAAACATTTATCAGAGATAGTAGGAACTGCAGATGCTGGAGAATCTGAGATAACAAGGTGTAGAGCTGGATGAACACAGCAGGCCAAGCAGCATCAGAGGAGCAGGAAGGCTGACGTTTCGGGCCTAGACCCTTCTTCAGAAAATGAAGGGTCTAGGCCCGAAACGTCAGCCTTCCTGCTC